AATTATATTAATGTTAATTTTGTATATTTTTTTAAAATTTTTTTCTGGGTTTTCACTGTTCTGTTGTTTATCGTTATTTTTGGGGTGATGTACTCAAAAATCAATGGCACAAAACTGAAAAGAAAAGGAAAACGTAACAAAATATGACTTCAAAGGCATAACTAAACCAAAACAACAAAATATATAACAACAGAAAGTCAAAGCGAAAATTCAACTTTTGTGTGGCTTTTCACGTTCGCACATACACACACACACACACACAGAGAGACGAGCAATTGCTGCTGCAACGGCGCAGTTTATTTATGCTTGTGTGTGTTGGCAATCGTAATCAACGAAAAAATATACATATACGCTGATAATTTCTTCAACTGTCCCCGTCTTGCGTCTTCAGTTTAGGATTTGCACTGTTATACCTGACCAGCAACTAACCTGATTTGTGCTTTCGCTCATCGTATGTTTATGTTTCCGGCGAACGCGATCCAAAACACGCAGCCCGCAAGTTCACAGCAGTGCGGCCTTTTGGGCTCCTAGGATTGTTATGAGATCGCGTTCCGAATCGGCAATTTTAGGCACATTTCTATTAGATATAACTTATTGTTTACTCTATCGCTCAGCGCTGCTCAAATCCCGTTCAATTTACCTATAATTCGTCTAAGTGATGTAACACGGTGCACAAATCAGCAGCCACTAGTGCTGCAAAATGCCAAACAGTCAGTATCGACATTTCGAATTGGTGGCGGCTGGTCGATAAGTCTTGAGCCACAAGACGATAAAAGCTCTAAAGCCCATTCCATATGCCGCGCAATTTCAAATGCAACTAACTAAAGGAAAAACACAATTGAATTTGTTTTGTATATTATTGTTCCGTTTTTTTTTTATTAAATTTTTTGTGTAGAGGATTTCTTTCCACTTGTTTATTTATCGTTATTATATTTACTGGTTTGCAATAAATTACATAAAATAACATGTTTCCATTGTATTTAAAGTAAACGTAAAAAGAAAAAAAACTATATAGTTAAAGGGTAAATTAAAAATAAATTTGTTATCAAGTTAGTTGTTAGATTTTAGGCGGGCCTTTGAGTGGTTCGGGTATCTGGGTAACGTTAAGTAAAGTAAAGTCAATGTATCGAAACGCTTCAAACATAATATTGGCTTAAAATGTAGTTAAGTAACAAACTTAATAAGCAGTTCAGAAAGGGCATAAGAAAAGATCCTTTAAATATTTGGGAAAAAAAATGCTGAAATAGGATAGTTTGGGGTCTCTGTGTGTCTGTTTGTGTTTGTTGGTGTTTTTCTGTGTTCGTGTATGTGTGCAAACAGCTATCTCCCATTATATAACTTAATATGGTATAAATAGAGCTTACAACTTATTTAGTGATTTTATTTTCTCTATTGCTGTTCGTTATAAGTTTCTCATTCATAATTTAGCTAGTCTATTTAATATATATTTAAATGTTGCCTTATTTTCAACTTATTGTTTTGCTGTTGCAGTTTTCAACATATGCTCATATGTATATATACATATATAAAATGTATATAAAGA